AAGAGAACCCTGGTGCATGTCCAGCCCAGGGAGTGCATTTCATGGCAAGGTACTGTGCCAGGGTGCGGGACTTAGAGCGGAACTCTGCTCTTTGCAGTGCAAGTCTCCATGTACCGAGAGGAGCTGACTTCAGTGTCAGTACAGATAAGAGTTTTACCAACCTACAGGGCAAAATTTATCATCTGAAGGGTACCACATCTCCTCCTCCTGCACACACAGGCCCTCAGCATTTCGCAGTCTTCCTGCAGCTCTGTCTGTGTTCCTGCAATGAGCACGGAGTGCACATAGGTCCAAGAAAGCCAACTGCAGTGTGAACACTTGGTTGGGTTTAACATTTTCTGCCTCTAACTTCTAGAACTGACTGACAAAGCCAGAGCAAGGTTGCTCCCTGCTGCATGCTCTCATCCTATCCCCATTTGCCTCCGTGTCTCTTGGGAGGCAGGGCCCTGGGGTGGGATGCTTTACCCTGCTGCTGAAAGCTTTAACACTTCCAGTCCTGCAAAGCTGGATTTTCTCTGCTGTTTTAAGGTTGTTCCTCCTTGTCTTGCCACAAATGGTTCTTCTTCCTCCCTTTGAGGACCTCTGGTCTTTCGGAGGATCATCCCTCAACAAGTTTATTGTTCCCCAGGGACATAGCACAGAAAGCTGTGAGTGCTGTAGCTTAAGGGGGTCAAGAGAGCAACACCTCCTCCCCACCAGTGATGTCTCTGTCACAGTCTTGAAGACAATTTGCCCTGGTACCTGCCAATCTCCTCAGTCACTCCATCTCTCATTTGAGCTGCCAGGGGAGGAGGTGAGCTGCTGCCCGAAGCAAGGTCTCATGGGGAACAGCAGCAGCAGACATGGGACAAAGGCTCCCAGATCCTTCATGCAGCTGATGAACACAGACCACGTTCCCCTTGCAAATTGTGTCCCTTCCCAGGCTGGCAGCGGTTGAGAGTTGGGAGCAGTTGGGACACGCCCCCGTTCAGAACCTGGTGATAATCCCACCTCAACAGGCTTTTTCTCTTCCCCTTGCAGTCCCCCCGAAGGAGCCAGTGCTGATGTGCCGGTCCAACAACTACCCAAAGGGTTTCTACTGCAGCTGGCACCTGCCCACTCCCACCTACATCCCTAATTCCTTCAACATCTCCGTCATGTAAGTGCCTGGGAAGGAAGGGTGCAGCGGGGTGAGCTTTTGTCCCTGCAGCCCAAAGCAGGTATGAGGTATTGCTGTGAAGTCTTGGGGCAGGGGGTCTGACCTGCGATGAGCATATTGGTCCCATATGCTCAGTGTCCCAAAAATGGGCCTGGGAAAGGATGCTCCAGGGACATCCAAACTGGATGCTTTGCACCAGGGCTCTGTTCCAAGAAAACCCCAATTTCCTCAGAGGGGAACCAGGGTAAAACCAGTTCCCAGGTCCCCTTTCTATGACCCCAACTCCATCTTCTCTGCTTTACTTGTCCACAATGGAGGTTGTGTCTGCTGCGTTTTGGCACCTTTGGCACAGACACAGTTCTTTCTGCTGTACACTGGCTGTGGTCAGGCAACAGCCGTGTCCCTCACCTAGAACTGGCCATGGCATGGCTTTTTTCCCCTCAATCCTGTGTCTGGGTCCTGCCACAGCCCTTGTACACGCTCGTGCTGTGCATTATCTTCTGGGGCTTGTGTCACCAGCAAAAGGAGACCCTATTCCTCTCACAGGAGGGACAGAGCCAACCCCAGTGCCAGCAGGGTCTCATCCTTTCCATGACAGGGTGAGGACATTCACCTCTGTGCAGGCTTAGGATAAAACATCACACACATGAGCCTGCAGAATTCCTGGTGGAAGGAAAGGAGCCCTCTGGCTGTGGCAGGGGCTGGTGAATGGGGACCATGGGCAGAGCAGGAACAGACACGTTCCTGCCTCCTCCCTCCAGCAGCATGGGCACATTACCACTGCTCCATAGGTAACAGCTCTTTTCACCTCTTCTTCCCAGTCACGGCACGAGAGAGATGGTCTGCGAGAAGGATGTCTTTCCCAAAAACAGGTGTCACATCAGGTACCTCCAGCTCTTCTCGACTGTGAAGTACAAGGTGACTCTGACAGTCACGAATGCTCTGGGCAAAAGCTCCACCACTCTCACCTTTGACGAGTTCGCCATAGGTAACTTCTGCGCCCGCAACTGGCCTCTGAGACGGTGTTGGGGTTGGCTTGCTCTGCATGCAGTGACACACACCCGAGTGACAGGCTGGCTCCCCAGATAGAGCCTCTGCCTGTCCGTGCATGAGATGGAGCCAGTATCTTCCCGGTGCCCTCCTTATTCTCACGGCCTTGATGTCACTCATGCCAGCACCAGAGCATCCTGGGGGAGCCAGGCAGGATGCCCACACGGGTCCCCCATGTGGGTCCTGTCAGTGCCCTGCCTGGTCCCATTCCCAGTGGTCCAGGTCTCCTGTGGTTGCTGAGCTGCTCCCTGCTTGAGCCTAGGGAAGCAGTTACCATACATCAGGCCAGAGGGCTGCGAAACTGGTACGGTCCAAATGGTGTTGCTCTTCTTGCCCCTATTGTTCCTAAAAGAGTGGCTTGGTCTTTGTGCTGAAAGTAGTGTCATGAGAATTAGGATTGGAAAAGAAATTAAAATGTCCTATCCTTTTTCCCGCATTCTTAGTCAGGACAAAGCCCTCCCACAGTCATAGTCCATCAGCCCCTACCTGACACGCTCCTAAAACTCTTATTTCCCCCTTAACATCTCTTCACTATCCTACACGGGCAGCAGATGCTGAGTGATACTTCCCATGGTACAGATACTTCTCTGACTGAAGAACCAGCATGGACTGAGCAATTCAGTGCCAAGCATGGCCAAGCATGGCAAAGCAGGGAGCTGGGCACAATGCTTTTGCCACCAGCAAAAGACGGATTACAGCCAGTGCCGTGACAAGACTGTCCATCCTCAAAGAACAGGAAAAAACAGGAGAGAATAGAGTTCAGGAACGCGTTGAAAAACAATTTGCAAGTTACATGTGGCAATTACTGGACCAGAAAAACAAATAAATTAATCCTTGAAGTGCAGCCAGCAGTCATCCTTTGCTTTCGATGTGCTGCACGTCCCAGTCCCATGTGGCTGGAAGTGCCAGAAGAGGAGCTCTGCTGCCATCCCAGATTTTCCCTTTTTACCCAAAATCCTGGGAAACATCAAACAAGAAACAAGGTGCCTGAATAGAGCAGGGAAATTGTTTTGGAGGAGGGACTTTACTGTCTTGTCTCTGCAGCCATGATCCATATCCGAAGCTTGTATTCAGCAGTGCCTTGCAGAAGTTGATAACAAGACAAAGAGCTTAGCAGGGAAGTGTGGAGTTTCAGTCACTTGGGTGCCTTTAAATGGAAATTATTGTGTTTGTGGAAGATACACTCCTTAAAATTGAAGGTAACCTTCAGCCTGCAGGGCCCAGAACAGTAATTAAGCTGCATTTTCCGAGTTCCTTACATTCCCTCCTGCAGGAGTTCTGGGCATCATCTTATAACATCTGCATCCCACCCATGCCCTGCCTGGCTTCCCAAACATCTGGCCCTCCATCCAGCACACAAGGGCAACCCCTATGGGAAGCACACCCAGCTGCAAGCCCCGGGCATCCCAGCACCAGCACAAGCCGGATCCATCCCAGCAGTTTGAACTCAGCCCAGGTCAGAGGAGCAGTGAGCAGAGGCCAGCACTGCCCCAGGCCAGCCGTTAGCATGGGTGCAGTATCACTGCCTCTTGCAAGAGTGCCTGGAGGGACTCAGGGTGCGTCCCATGTACATGTCCCAGTGGTTGTGGTGGGACATGAGACCATCCAGCACCACATGGCAGATGGCCTAAGACCCTCCAGGATAACACTTGGGAAAGGGGTGATGGGGAAGTACTGATAGGAAGGGTTGTGTCCTGCACCATGGAACCACCCTGATCCCATAAACATTTCAATATCCAGTGGCCTTAAAATTCTGTACAGCTATGAAATTCTTCTCCTTGGGATTTGATACAGCCACTGTGCATAAGAAGCATAGACACGGTGCTGATTTAGTGTTCAAGCAGGCAGTCGACAGGCATAGCAGTCTTTACCAGATGAACTCAGCTGCTGCAGATTAACAGCCACCTACCCCGAATGGAGCTTCTCCTTATGCTGTCCTTGTTTCCAATTAAAGCAAGTGCACTGTGTTAGTGTATTTTGCCATGCAATTTTGCCCCAGGTTGTGTGCTGTGCTCACAGCAGCTTCTGCACTTCAGTGTCTCTTCTGGCTCTCTTCTTTAACAGCTGCAAATCCACGGCTGTGTCCCAGCAGTGTGGATCTATCATACAGTAGGTTCCTTGGGGATCTCTACCAGCATAATTTGGGCTGAGATCTCATGTTGGAAGTTGGGTTTCACTCTGCTAGATGGAGGGGTGAAAAACCTACAGCTCAGGACAAAGCCATTGCATCAGCTGGTTGGAAGATCACAGTGTTGGAGTATCACAGCATCCTCTAAAATGGAGAGATAGTGTCAAACAGCAACTGCACGATGCTTCTCCTAAAATCCCAGGGCCGGGGACGTCAGCACTTGTGTTTTCTCCTTAGCCTAGAGAAAACTGTTACACCTTCTGCATGGAGGTTAAACCCTAGGCATGAAGCCCTGATCTCATGCCCTGCTGGAACAATGACAGCTTTTGCTATCTCAAGCCCATGCCTCGCTGGTGGTTGTTCCATGCTGGTTATTAGCAGCCAGATGTGAGGGGTCACTCTGCATTGGCTCTTCCAGTGATGACTGGAAAAGCTTTTCCACTCCTTTGGACCCACCTTTCATAGGTAGGAGATCCAGGCTGCCTTATTCCTCATCTTGCTCCTGGAAATTGTCCTGCCACCTCCTCAAAATGGCTGGGACAAAATGGGGACATTTGTGTAACTCCAGGGCACAATGCCACCTTCCTCACTTGTGTTTTAGCTCAAGAACCAGGTAGCTGGCACATGCATCCTCCAGGAAAGCAGGGACATCATCACCATGCAGCAACACCAGCACCTTTCTCCTCTTGTGAGCCTGGAGTAAATTAGCATAGGAAGATGCACAGCATTAAAAGGAGGAAAGCAGCCTTGCACAGGGCCCGGCAGGAATGGGTGCCTTCCTCACATCTGCCATCCATCCTTTGTGTGACCTTGGGAAGGTCATTTGCTTCTCCCAGCTCCAGCTCTGGAGTGATTAAGACACAAAGCATTTCGTAGGGGCTGCGTAAGGACAAACATGCCTGTGTCTGTATGAAATTCAGGATCTCTGAACATGGGTATATAGTTGCCTAAGCAGAAGGTCAGTTCAATTCATACTACTTATGGAGGCAGAATTAAATTACCTAGACTGACATTTGGCTAAGACATGGAGTTTAATATCCCTCTGCTCATGGAAAATGCCAGGGGATATTTAATGGCCACAAGGGATCCATTTTAGAGCTCACTGGAGAGATGGGATGGGTGACAGGCCCCCTCCCTGCTGCAGGGTCTCAGCTGCCTTTCTGAACCCGAGGCTTCCTTTTGAGATATGTCTATCACAGCCAGGGGTGATGGATAGCTAAAGACACAGTTAAGCATGAGCATTCAGAGCCTTTAGGAAAAGCTGCTTTCTGCAGCTCTTCACAGAATCACAGAATGTTTGGATTTGGAAGGGATCATCTATTCCACCACCTAGAGCAGGGCCATTTAGAGCAGTTTACACAGGATCATGTCTGGGCAGGTTTTTAGTATCTCCAGAGAAGTAGACTCCACAACACCTCTGGGCAGCCTGTTACTGTGCTCAGCCACCCTCAACATAAGGAAGTTCTTCCTCATATTCAGATGGAACATCCTGTGTTTCAGTTTGTGTCTGCTGTTCCTTATCCTGTTGTTAGGCACCACTGAAAAGTCCTGGCCCCATCCTCTCGAAACTTGCCCTTAAGGTATTTGTATGCATAGTTAAGATCCTCTCTCTAAGTCTCCTCCAGACTAAACAGGCCCAGCTCCCTCAGCCTTTCCTCACAGGAGGGATGCTCCAGTCCCCTAATCATCATGTAACCATTTGCTGGGCCTGGTCCAGGAGCTCCATGTCTCTCTTGTGCTGAGAAGCTCAGAACTGGACACAGCACTCCAGGCGAAGCCTCACCAGGGCTGAGTAGAGAGGGAAGATCACCTCCTTCTACCTGCTTTTCCTAATGCACCCTGGGACACCATTGGCCTTCTTGGCCACAAGGGCACATTGCTGGCTCATGGACAACTTGTTGTCCATCAGAACCCTCAGGTCCTTCTCCACAGAGCTGCAGGATCCCACCTTGCTCTTCTAGCACTTGGACGTGGCAGCTGAAAACCAAGTGGGAAGAGCTGTGAGTCGCCTTCCAGCCAAGTCTTCTTCCTAGGAATGTCTGATGATGCTCCCTCAGCTCTGCAGGATAATATTACATCTGGTTTTATAGCAGCTTAACCAGTACTCAGCCTAATGCCCATCATCCATTATTATTATTACTATTACTGCTTTTATTACGTTACTGCCTGCAGGCCCTCACTGAGGACAGGGCTCTATTATGCTGCCTGATATATAGCCAGACAGCCCCTGACTTGCCATGTGCAGGCTAAATAGAGGCAGACAAAGACTGGGGAAGGAGGAGCACAGTCATCCCCATGTGTGGAGCAGGCACCTGGGAGTCTGTGGAAGATAAAGATTCCTTCAAGGTCACACAGAAATCAGGGAGCTGGACATAGCCCATCTCCACTCGTTCCTCATCTGGCTCTTGCAAGGCTGGCCCTGATGGTTCCCATGATGTGCACAGTGTAACGAGGTCTGTCCTAAGAGACGTAGGTCTGTACTCACTGGACCAGCTGCGAGGGGTGCAGTCCCCTCTCCTGGCTCTTGCATTCCTGACACCTTGGAGGAATGTGGCAGGAACAGCTTTGGCTTTGTGCTTTTGGAGGAGCTGCCCCTGCTGCACTTTCTAGCCTGGGCAGGATTCCCAGCGCTGGGGACATGACTGGGGAGGTAGCAGGGGATGCTGGTTTTCCCATTAACACACAGTGCCATTTGAAGGCTTGCTGCAGCCAGGAGTACAGCCCTGTTTGATGGCTGGGCTCTATGGTGCTTGCTTGGAGCCAGGGCAGCCCTCCCTTGTGCACCAGGGGCAGTCTGTAACCCACAGGAGCGGGGCTGGGGTTGCATCCATGCAAAATGGGCAGGTAACTCCCACCTCTGCATCAGGGCACCTTTCCTTTGGCTTTCCTACAGTCCACCACAGTGGCACCTCTTGTTGCTGCCCAAGCTTTGCCTTGCCCAAAACAACTGCATTTAAGCATCCCAAAAAGCAGGACCAGGCTTTACTGCAGATTGTATCCCATCAAGTCCGTCTCCAGCCCAGTGCTTTCCTTTCCACTTCCTCGCTGCAGAGCTGCAGTTCACCGTCATCTGCATTCATTCAGCCAAACAGACTTTTGTTTTGCAAACCAAGCCCGCCAAGCCAGTGCTGGATTTATACTTTTCCGTATGTGTTTGGACTCCAAGTCCCTGTCGATGCAAGCTGATGTCCAGCCCAAGCACGGGGATGCAAAGAAGCAGAGGACTTGCACAGCCATCTGGAGTAGCTCAGCACGGCACAGCCCCAGAAAGTCATCCCTCCTGCCAAGGATAAGGCTTTAAATGGAAAACTGTGTCACACCCTGCCACAGAGAGGGATCAATGGGAGCTGGGAGGTGATAGTAGGCACCCATGGTCAGGCCCATGGGTGCTTGTTCTCCAGCTGGTACCCAAACCTCCAGGAATCCTCTGAGTGCGCTGGGGATGAAGGAAGCTCTGCAGCCCTCCTTGCACTCACCATGGCAGAGGGAAGGCAATAGGAGGTGGTGGTGAAGATGATAGTGAAGAAGGACGAGAGCAGAGTGTGTGCCAAGGTACTGAGAGGGAGGGTTGGACAGAAGGAGATGGTGGTGGGCTGTGTCTCTGGAGGAACAGGTCCAGTTCTGGGTCCCACCAAAGTGGTTGGGCTGTGGCTTCATTTCAGCAGCCTCCCTCTGCCTCATCCACAGCCAGGAAAGGGGGTTTGAAAGCATCACAAGCTGTTTTCTCCTAAGAGGAGCAAGCAGGGAGGGTGTCTTCCTGGGGACATTGCTGCACTTCCACCATCATCCCAGAGCAGAGGTGGCACAGAACAGCCCACACACAACACCGCTTGCAGTTGACTGGCTCCACATCAGTGCCTAGTGTCATACAGCTTCAAGAAGAGGGAGAGATGCCCTTCACACATAGGGCAGGGCTGTGGGCAGCAAGAAGGCTAGCAAAGGAACAGCTCACTCATGACCATCACCTCCTTCCTCTCCCAGGGAGAAGGCCCTGTGTAGATACCACCTCCCACCCTGGGGTCAGCAGGGAGGAGGAGAGCTCTGAGTGCAATTCAAGAGCTATACCAGACAGAGAGGGGGTACCCGTGCCCCCAGCATCCCTCCTTCATGCTTGGGAGAGGACTTTGATGTTGGCACCTTCACAAGCTACTGCTCGATGTGGTCAGAACCAGAGGATCATTGCTCAATCCAGAGATTTTCAAGCCGGGAGGGATCCATTGGCCTGCGTGTGGGCTTTGGAGGGGGTTAAAAGCCATTCTGGGACATGAGGACTCATATGCATTGCTATTCTTAGAGTGCACAGAGAGCCCTCTTCCACCCCAGGCACAGCTGTGCATCCAGATCCCCTTGCCCAGCCCCTTCCCGACCATGGGAAAAAGGAGAAGTGTGGGTGTACCCAAATCTCGGTCTTTTTGTAGCTTTGCTATTGCAAATTGGGAGTTTGAGCTGTCAGGAGTTGAGCAAACCCTTGGCAAGGGAGCAAGGCTCATTCTGCAACAGGCAATGCCGTTCATCACAGCCTGTCTGCGATTTGTTCCCAGCACTCTAAAAGTAGCTGCAACTTCAAAGCATGTTGCATAGGTCACAGCCAATTAATATTCACTTGAAATACTGGTGGGGTAGCAAGAAAATATCCGCGTATCCCAAAAGCAGAGCAGGGCTGAGAGATATCTCTGGGGTGGAAGCTGACATTTGCATTCACCCTTGGCAAATAAGATGGGCCACATCCCTAAATACTTTCAATCCCCAAAAGCCCAGCCCTAAACCCAAGGGCCAAATTGCCATGGTTCTGCAAGGTAAGCAGATTTGAATGTGGATCAGACTCATAGAAATCAGATGTGCAGAATTTGAGCTTGGTGGGCTCCTCACCCTGACCCAAGTATCCCTGGGGAGGAGAGACGTTCTGTGCCCTGGCCAGGTTATTCCTGTGTGTCTCCAGCACTGGCCCCTCCTTATTTTGAGCCAGGACCTGGACAACAGAAAGGATATTTGCATTTAATTAGTTGGGGAAAAGGATATTCTACATGTTGATTGCTCTCCTCAGAAAGCACACATTGCAAACTGCAGTCAGGGTGTCAGAATGCCGTGTACAAAGCTTTACCTTCTTCTCTTCCAGTAAAACCAGACCCTCCAGAGAGCGTGGTGGCCAAACCTGTGCCCAATAATCCTCGCAGGCTGGAGGTATCATGGCAAAACCCCTCGTCCTGGCCAGACCCTGAGTCTTTCCCACTCAAGTTCTTCTTGCGGTATCGACCCCTCATCCTGGACCAGTGGCAACATGTAAGTGATGCTGAGCTGGCTGGGGCAGGAGGGAATGAGGGGAGATGGTGGCTGTGAACAAATTGCATCAGGAACAGTTGGTCAGAGACCCCAGAAAGAATGTCTATTTCCTGCCCAGGCAACCCAGACCCTTTCCCTCTCCTCCTCTGTCTCTCCTCCCTTCTCTCTTCCTCACCGTATTTCTTATAACTTACATTCTACCTACAAATGCCTCTGCAGGCTCTCCCTGCTCCACATTTTCATCCATGTCCCCTGTCTACTTTCCATACATATGTTCTGTATAAAAGCTGCCAGTGAGATGTAAAAGGCATTTAAAGTATAAATGTCACCACATTTAAATGTGCCTCTGCCACATTTAGATTTTGAACCGAAGATAAAATACCGCTCGCCGTAACTCTGAGCACCGTCATGGAGCGGCTGCTGCGGTGATATCGTACTTCTTACTTTTATTTCTTGTTTCTTTAAAAAGAAAAAAAATAGTCAGTGAAATCCTTGGCAGCCCAGAGGACAGATTTCATTTGTTAGCAGCAGGAAGATAACAAATGGGCTTTTTATTTCCCCTCTGTGGGCTGCTTGCATGCTCAGCTTGTGAAGAAAAGCAATCTGGCACTCGAGGAGAGGTGCCGCTATGCTGGCATGGCTCATCCAGCATCCCCTCTGCACCGAGCTGGGCCAGTCAAAAGCTAATGAGGTGCTTTGCTTGATAAAGCAGTTTTTCCCCCCAAGAAAAGACAAATAGGAGGCAGAATCCAGTCCTGGAGAAGCTTACCTGTGTCATGGAGTGAAGTGGAGTTTTCTGCTGGACAACTTTTCCACTGTGTGTTGGTTGGGTTTTTGGACGAGGCAGCACCACAGGTTGTATTTCAGATTGAAGTGTTTGCTGATGGCTTTTGAAAATCATAGGGCAGCCACAGCTTCTCTGGGCAACCAGTTCCAATGCCTCACCCTCATAATGAAGAATTTCTTCTCAAGATCTAATCTAAATCTCCCCTCTGCCAATTTGAAGCCATTCCTCCTTGTCCTATCCCTACATGCCCTTATAAAATGTCCTTCTCCAGGTTTCTTGTACGCCCTTCTTTAGGTGCGGGAGTCATTTTAGGTATTGGAAAATCAGAGGAGGGTAGGGGTAGGGTTCTTCTGCTTGTCTCTTTGCCCTTCTCTTAAAGGGAAACACCAAACACAATATCATTTTTTCCAAGATGTGATACTGTTGTGGAAATAGCTGATGTTTTTACCCTGCTATAGCCTGATCCAGCCAAGCACACTGCGAATGTAGGGGTTTGCACCCAAAGCTGGTGGGAGACCCAGTGAGTTGCTTCCTGCCTCAGCACCCTCAGGCTGCCTGGTCCCTTCATCAGTGGGTATTAGGTATCATATTTGCAGGGTCAGGCCTTTGCAGGGGTGGTGTGGCATCTCCATCAGTGCTCTTAGGCAGGCAGCAAAGGTGGGAAATACATAGAGGTGTTGGTGATGCTGGTTGAAGGGCCACCCTGGCCAGAAAATGCAGTTTTAGAGCAGTAAAATATTGATTTCTCCTACTTAAAGATACCCAAGAGAGCTCGAGGTACCACCCCTCATGGTGGGTGCAAGAAGGGCTGTGAAAGGCTCATGTCCCCACAGCCCATGAGGGCACAGCAGTCCTGGGTGTTGCATTTAATCAATATATCCTCTTCCAAGAGACATGTTCCCTGTCACTGGCTGATGGAGAAGTGTGCTTGGGGAATAATTTGCTCTGTGAGCAAGCGCAAGCATTCATCGAGTGAGGTACCAGCCTTGTTTTCTGAGTCTCTGGCCCGCCGGCTGGGTAATGAAAAATCTGATTTGTGGATGATTTGAGGAAAACTGCCACTATTCGTCAGATGAATTATTTGTGAAGCCTAATCCAATCAGCTCCCAAACACCAGGGGACCACAGCAATGCAGCAGCCAGAGCTGCTCCAACCCCAGGTCCCCCTGGTATGCTCAGCCTGCTTAGTCCATCTGGATACCCTGCAAATGCAGCGGTTTGCACCCAAAAATGAACCCTGCTGATGTTAGCTTGCTGGGAGCATGCCCAAGCCACGCTGTATTTGTGAAGCCTAATCCAATCAGCTCCCAAACACCAGGGGACCACAGCAATGCAGCAGCCAGAGCTGCTCCAACCCCAGGTCCCCCTGGTATGCTCAGCCTGCTTAGTCCATCTGGATACCCTGCAAATGCAGCGGTTTGCACCCAAAAATGAACCCTGCTGATGTTAGCTTGCTGGGAGCATGCCCAAGCCACGCTGTGCTCTGCTTCGCTTGACCTATTGCTTGGCATCTTTGGGGATGTCCTTATTCCCTCAAATCCAGCCAGGAAAGGGAAGGATGTGGTTTGGTAGGGCCAAGTCTGTCTCAGCCATCCAGCTAATCCTGTGGTGGTGGTGTTGGGTCTCTCCTTGAAGGGACGAGTTCCCTGAGAAAGGAAGTAGTGGTCATGCATGCCACATTGCATGGGGGTGTCTTAATTCTTGCTGAGGTGAAGGTGTCCTGCCACAAGCTGCCCCCCATCTTGGCTCATGCTGTCCCCTGTGGCTGCTGGCGTGGAAAAGCCATTGCACACAACCTGCTTGCTGACAATGGGGCAGCCTAGGAGAAGAGAATTCTCCACCAGCAGCCCGGAGGAGCTGGGTAACCTCATGGTCCAGCACATCCTGTGTGCCCAAGGTCCCCAGGGTAAGCCCCATCCCTGCCTCCTCATGGCAACCCCTCATGGCCTGGTTTTAAGCATCTCCCGCCACCCTCTTGGCAGCCCCATGGGAAGCCTAACTTCCCTGTGGGAATAAACCCACAAAGAACACTGGAGACTGCCCAGAGCCAGGAATGTCCATGCAGACCCCACTCACACGTGGTGTTTCTTGTCAGAATAAGCAGCTCCCCTTTCACCCTTCTACCTCCCATTATCTTTGCAGGGTCTGATTTATGCACAGCACCTCAGCAGGCAGGACTGAATGAGCACTAATAGGATCAGATGGATGTCGAGCTGTCGAATACCGTACGGCCTGATTCAATCAGCATCTGCTTTCTCCCAGGCTTTTTCTTTCAGGATTTTAATAATGCCAGGGCTTGGCACCAGAAGATGAAACCATGCATGGCAGGAGAAGTGGATCTTATCAGGACCACTGCTGTGAGAGCTAGCCATAAATGCAGTTTCTCCCCACAGGGAGAGACACCTCTCAGTCAGAAGGTGTCAGGGGGACACCTTCATTCCCTTGCCAGCACTTTGCAAAGGCAGGTTTGAGCCCCAGTGTGCTGTTTGCACCCCCTTTCCCCTGCTCAGCAGCACCTTTCTGCTTAGGCTATTTAGCATCTCTCATGTTGCAGTTTTCTGTGGGAATTACGATGTTGTGTTCCCATTATCACGGAGAGATGATGATGATGAGTTTCCACATGAGCGTGCGATGGGGCATGTTCTGGATCCTCCTTGCACTATCAAGGTGCAGCTCCCTTGAACCTGGGCATGGGCATTTCCTGGCTGTTCAGGATGCAGCTGTGCCACATCGTGTCACATCATGACTCCCCTTCACCCCACCAGCACAGAGCTTGCTCTGAAACTCAAGCAACTTTAAAGTCATGTTCCTCCCTTTCTGGAATAGGGGCTAGTGGTTTCTCTTCTGCCAGAAGAAAGATGGGATATTTGTAGCCTAAACAGGTTTTTTATTCTCTCCTTTTGGCAGAATCTCCCCTTCTGTCTCCTAAATATAAAACATTAAATGTTTAGGGTATCCTTTATTTTTCTCCTGCTTTTAAGTTTGTAATTCAAGCCAGATTAGCATGGTTTCCTCTTCTGTTTTATAGCCCCATCCTGGCCCCAAGCGAGCTCTCCTAATGCTCTCAGATGTTCCTCTAATGGCTTACCTAGGCTGGAACTGGATACCCTTTCCTAATGGATTGCTAATAGCCTGTTTCTGGTTTTACAGGCTCCTTCAGTTAACTCGCAACAGCAGCGATCACCACACTCACACATACGATCTCCCTGCAAGCACGTCTGCATGCTCACTCCTAGATGCAAGCTGGTGGCCAGGCACCACCCTGAGCATCTTTGGGGAGCCCAGGGCAGGTCTTGAACCCAATTTCCTCCCACCTCATAGTGTTTGTGGGAGCAGGATTTCCACTTTTCCCAGTTTTTTTGGGGGGGGATCTCAAGTGCTGAGCACCGACCAGCTCGGCACACATCCCAGGAATGTGGCAAGGCTCAGAAAGTATTTCTTCAGCAGTGTCAGAGCTCGTGGCCAGGCTGAGAGAGGATTTCCTTCAGTGGGTTGCCAGCAATTTGCAGATGCCATTGCAAAGTCTAATTGAACCCACTGGCCACGCTGACAACATGAAATGTTAACGAACCGTGAGGCGGGCTGCACCTCAGATCTTGAGATTTGCAGTAAAAGGTCATGAGATATTTAAAGCTAATAATGTGGTTGGGTTCTCTCCTTCCTCTTCTGTTTTGGAAGCATTAAAGCCACGTCTGTGAGCATTTGCAAAGACTAGAAATGTCCTTCTTTAGAAGCAGAGGTTCTAAAGAGAAGAGAATCCAAACACCTTGGGATTTTAGGAGCTGGGGCACAGAGCTCCCAGTACAGGCATCTGTGCCATTTCTAATCCAGGCAAATGATGGGGATTTGGGGATAGGAGTAGGCAATTTGTGGGTGTTGCCAAGTACTTAGTGGTTAGGTTCATTGGCGTGAGGAGAGTATGGTTCTCTGAGCTGGCCACCATCACTCATGTGTCGGGGTGGCTGCCAGGATGCCCTCAGGCTCATCTCCCAACACAAAGCAACATCTTTGGGTCAAATAGGTGAATGTCACAGCCTGAAACAACCTGCAACTGTGTGCTAAGGTGTATATCCTCCCTGCGACAGGCAAGGGGGAGGGATGGAGCTGGAGAAGGCAATTAGTGCCACCGCCTGCCGCAGCTGCTTCCCCAGCAGCAATGTCACTTTGTGGCGGGTGCTGTTCTTTGCACCCATCTGCATCCCCCCCATGCCTCT